ACAGATTTGCAAAGGTTTTCTTACCAACCAATACATCCTATGTGATCTCAGGCAGATATGTCATGTAATCCTTCTTTTTAAATTCCCTGTGCCCTACTTTAAAATTAGTCAGGGGTTTTTCTGCACTGTTTTTGTCAGCAACCCTCCCTGAACATTCAAATATGGGATTTTTCTGCTTACTGAGACTTCAGCCTTATGCAGAATGTCAACTAGCCTGGAGTAAGAACAACTCAAAAAACACCTGCAAGGCTTTCAGTGCAAATCTCTGACCTTTATCTAAGAACTCACTTTGTAGAAAATCCTTTCTGATGGTGTTTGCTGATGCAGGTTTTCCTTCAGGCTGAACACACAGAAGGGCTTAGGGGGGGTTGACTCCATAGCTCTGAACTCTGCAGTTGGACAGGAGCATTGCAAAATTCACAGCTGGAAGTTCCCACCTGAGACCAGTCCTTACTGATTCCCACCTGAGACCAGTCCTTACCTGTTCCCACCTGATCCAGTCCTGGCTGATTCCTACCTGAAACCAGCCCTTATTGATTCCCACCTGATGTCAGCCTTTACCAACCCCATTCTGCTGCTGGCTCTGACCCACCCAGTGAAACCCCAGCTCAGACAGGTCCCATCAGCTGAACCCAAGCTGAAGGAAAATGCTGGTTCCATCCTCTGATGATGGAAATACCTTCATGGTTTCTTTATTGCATTTCCAATCTCTCTGGCTCTTTATTTCTCACTTTAACATTACCTTTAACATGTTGCAGTGGATGTGATGAGAGGACGAATCCCTGACTTACCCAACAACTTTTCAGCATTTAAATTTCTTAACATCAAGCCAGAGCTGACTCAAATCAAAACCCTTCAGCGGGCCTAGGACAAGTGAGATTACTGCATTTATTGTTTTACATAAAGAAATTCTTGCATAAGCCCCACAGTCTGGCAGCCAGCATGCACTGCTTGTGCCATTAGCTCTTTTCCTGTGCAGTTGCTGCTGTATCATTGTCTGCATCATTGCTCTGAAAGCATGGCCTGGACAGTTAGATGTGTACAAAGAGCTGCAAATAGAAAGAAAGAGCTCACATCCCCAGAAATGCATCTGAGAACGGAATTTACTGTGGTCAAAGGGTGTGCCAAGCCTCAAAGGCATTGTGTCTTCTTTGGGGAGGCATTCCTGTCACAAAGCAGAGTTTGGCTTTTTGGTCTTGCACAGCATTTGAAGATATTTTGTGCTTCCTCCTATCGGAAAATGTCTCAGGGTAAAGATTTTCTCGTGTCCTGTGCTTGGTAGTGCATGGTGTGAAAGGATTGTGATAGAAGGCAGACTTAATTGAGTTGGGATTGTATGAAAGGAGGAGGATGAACAAGTAGCAAGCATCAAAGAAAGCCCCTACAGTGTCAGGGTACAAAGTTACCCAGAAGAGCCCTTGTGAAAAGGCTCAAAATGTTCATTAAACACAAACACTACAAGAGCCATTCTTTTTCTTCCAGCCTTTTAATGTGACAGAGAGAACAAAAAAAAAATCCATTGGAACAGCTGCAATTTCCAGTGACGACCAGACACAGATCAAATAAAAAAAAAAAAGAAGGTTTAAAATGAAGAAAAGGAACCAAGGGACTGGAATTGGCTATTTCACACACAGAGTGACAGAACATCTAAATGAAACTTTCCATTAAAGCACGACACCAGGTGTTATTTACAGTGGAACTTGCAGTGTGTGTACATTTATACAGCACTAGCATCACATACAGCAAAGAAATTAATTTCATTTTGTTTCCTTCACAGTTCCCAGGCTTGAATCTTCCTAAAAGCAGCATTTGCTAATATAAGGGTGAGAAACTGAGGGAGAAACTTAATGCAAAATAAAATACATAGGGCTCAAATCTACAAATAAACCTAAAAATATCCTCTCAGGTTTTGTGACTCCTTTGGAAAGTCAAAGGACATGAGCAGGGTATATAAAAGGACTCCTTAAGAGCATCAGAGTATACTCTGCTGTTGGAGGTCTCAAAGCAGGACCTGGAAGGGACCTGGAATCTGCAGATGGATGCAGATGAGCTGATGCTCAGCTCCATGCAGTCCTGCTCTGTGCCCCTGTGTGAAGGCAGCCTTGGGGCTGGACCACTCCCAGGCTTGGGGAACATCCCTCAGTGCCTCTCCAGCATCACTGAAGGACATCAGGATGCCTGAGCCCTTCCCAGTGTGCAGAACCTCTGGCACTGGATGTGGGTTTTCCAAGACTGACCCCCTTCATAGTCCAAAAGATCCCATACACCACCTTTTGTAAGTCCCACAGCATTTCAAGGAATTTCAAAGAGTGATGTTGATATGGGCAAGGAGGGGCTCACCCCACCCAGCACTGCAGCCACCACCTCTGGGATGTAGCAGAGCCAAAGGCAGCAACAGGAGCTGTCCTGCACAGCTGGAGTAAATAAATCACAATACCACAACCTGCTAAATCAACAGGGAACACAAGCAGGCAGAACTCTTATTGTAATACCACTGGTCTTTAATAATAGTATCAACAGTGCTTGGTGTTCCTATAAATGTGTCTGCATGCTCAGAAATTCAGCAATGGACCCCTCACAGTCCAGTGCTGTACAGATGGAATCACAAAGCCACATCAGGCCAGTTTGGGCTCGCTAAATTCACCTTCCCCATGCCACAGTGTCCCTGGCTAAGTGGCTGTCCTGCTGTGCCACACTGCATGAGGAGATCCAGCTGTCCTCTAGAAGAGGTCTTTGGGATTTAAGGCAAGTCCCCTGCCTTGGTCCTTGCTCTGTGTCCCTGCTGCAGTGAAGTTCACAAATCCATGGAGATGGTGCTGTGCAGCGACCATCAGGGGAGCTGTGGTCAGCAGGTTTTTCTGTGGATGGTCCAGTGTATCCCAGGCAGAGACAGTCACTGTGGCAGATCTGGGCAGGGGAACTGAGGGAGGAGATGTGTTTGCCCTTGAACAGCAGGAACAATGCTGATTTTACAGCAGAAATTAAGCTGAGTCATCAGAGGAGGTGCCTGAGGAGAAATCTTCCCTTGCCTGAGGCTCAAGGATCTGTGACTGAGGCTAAGCCTAGCAGGTGGCCAAGGCTTGAAACTGAGCCCAAAACAAACCCCAGCCAGTGAAGAGGAGGCTGCACCCAGCTGCTGTTATGCTCTGGAGAGAGCAGTGTGACACCTACACTGATTTACACCATGGCAAGGACAGCAAATAAGCACATTGGGAATATTGGCTAAGCCTGTCCCCACTGAACTGGGTGGGAGATGCCAGCCCAGGTGTCACAAATGCAATGCCTGAGCTGGAGCTGCTGCCCTGGATCTCTCTGTCCCTGAAGAAGCAGGACTGTCCAGGACAAGCCATCTCCAGGGTCCCACACATTCCCTCTGCTTTTCAGCTGAGAATAATGGCAATCCATTCAGTCCAACCCTGTGTGTCTGAGCTGGGTGATGGGAGCTCTCCTCAGCTTTTCCTTTCTTCCTCTCTGCTCACTGTTGTCCTTTATCTGAGGACAACAATCCTTTATCTCTGTGTGTTTGCTCTCTCCTGTTGGTCACAAACTCCCTGGTCAGTCCAGGGGTAGGAGCCTTGTCCCAACACATCCAATATTCCTTTAGCCCTCAAGTGACTGACCCATGGATTTTAGGGTGCAAAGAATTTCCAGGTGACACTGATAATGAGATCCCATTACTCTTTGCCTCATCCCAGCTGGTCTGTGGGGTAAGGTTTAGCAGCCTGTGAAAGAGCCATTTTGTAAGGAAGAAGGGTTTCTAATATTGGATAATATTTCCTAATATTACCTTGCCATTTCTATCTCCTCATGATTTCAGTTTCTTCCTTCTCTGGAAATTAACAGGGAAGTTTTGCAAAATAAACGATGTCATTAATGTCACTGCAAAATGTCAATGGAGAACACAAACAGGTTTGCTGTGAGCTTTGGGTGACATGTAAATAGGAATGTTATGCAAAGTAAATATTTAGGCAAATAGGTTCTAGTTCCTCAGAGCTGCACAAATGAATAATCCAGAAAATGAAACAAAATTTCTCCCCCTCTGTCCAGTTGCAATGTGACAATTGGCAAGCACAGCCCAACAAAATGGATGAAACCTAAAAGGTCATGGTGACCTTTTGTGTTAAAATACATATTTAAACTGTTTCTCATCATGCAAAAGGACCAGATATTCTTAGAGAAAATACCCACATTCTAGACTGTGATTCTGAACAGAAGCTGTGAACTGCTGCCAAAGGACATAATTACATTCACTCCTACCTTAGAGAAGGAACGTTGCTGTTTTGAAGACAAATTGAATAAATAATAATTTAAAAAAGCCTAATCTACCCTTAAAATGAAGAAATGATGCATAATAAGCTCAGTTGTTATAGCAGCTTGTGATTTCATCAATTTCATAAACCTCAGAATAAAGGTCAAAACTCTCAAAAACAGCCCATTGTAGCCTAGCTGATCCACGAGTGTTTATCCCTGATTGACACAATGATAAAAGTGATGCTCATTAGAGGCTTTTGCCTCATTGGCAAGGATTTGCTGCTTGTGATCTGACCCTGCTGTGTCCTTCAGCAGCACCACACTGAGTCCCACAGCTGCAGCCTGGGCTAAGTGCAAGGGGCTGTGCCTGTGCAGCCAAAGGCAGGGCTGTGAGACATCACTCCTGCAGGATCTCAGCCTAGCCTTGCTTGGTTTTCTTTAAAAAAAAAAATTCACCAAAAAAAATGAAAACAAACAAAACCCGACAAAGATCCAACAAAAGGTAAATGAGATCACCAGCAAAAGTACAAAAGAACTTTTTTATGTCACAGAATATCTTGGTTTGACAAATTAGCTGCACTATGTGTTGGTTTCAGATCAATTCTGCTCTGTTGCTGAGCTTGTTGCAAAGGGTATAATTAGTGTTATCTCATCCATTGTGAGCACTGGTGAGTTATTGAGCAGGGTGCTTTTCCTTCTGGTTTCCCAGGAAAACACACCCCAAAATACACAACTCACTTTGCCTCTAGGTGCAACAGAACTTAAGTGGTATGATAAAAAGGGCAGACAAATTTCAGAAATGTTCTCCACAGGATATCAAGCTAAACTGTGCCACTTAATGGGGAATTTAATGTTCTGTACAGTGAAAGCTTGCTGTGTGCGTTCCCTGTGTAACAAGTTAAATGGCTTTAAGTAACTGTGCTTACAGTGTTTCAATGAGACCCAAGTATATTAGAAAATCAAGCATCATATTCTTCAAATAATATGGCTAAAATGCTGGTAAATTCACAGTTACCATTCTCTAGGTATTAGGCAAAAATCCCCTATTTACACTGGATAATATGTACACATTTGGTTTGTGGAATGCTCCAATATCATATCAATTTCTCCTCTGTGAAAGCTGTAAGGAAAAAACCCTCTTAATCATTATAGAAATATATATTCCCAGCCACTAAGACATTTAAATATTTGGTATCTTGATGTAAAGAGCAAAGTGTCACTGAGTTGGTCATGACTCCTGATAAACTTGAATTACTGGGATTTGGTTTTGGTGCCACTCTTAAAATCCTCTAAAGGGTGCAGAAATTAGAAATCCTAAATTTTAATAGCTGATCACTTCAATGGGTGTATGTAAGTTTGCAAGTAGGTGTAAATACACACATATATGTATATATATATAATTGTTTATATATTTCTCTTCCACAGCAAGAAAGTGTCTAGTAATTCCCTGTGCCCAAGTGGAGACAGTAAAGAGCTTTGAAGCTCTGAGTCTTCTGAGACAGCTGAGCACCCACCCTCACATCCTCGATGAATCAGGACTCTCACTCTTCCAGGGTGGAGTGGTAATCCCAAAATCAAAACAGCTGGGGCCAGTGGCCACATCTGCCACTGTTAGCCCTATGGCTGGAGCTCACCTGGAGCAGGTGTGTTACCTGCCCTCCCTGGATGCTCTGTGTGCCTGAGCACATCTGGATGGCTGGGCAGGGCTGGGTTTCCAGCTGGGCAGGGCAGGAGGGTCGGGTCTGTCCTCCTGTCTGTCCTCCTGCCTGTCCTCCACGTGGGCACGGAGCTGCTGTCTGCCTCTGGTGTCCTTGCAGGGGGATGGACAGGGACAGGGGGAGCTCCCAAGCTCTGCAAGGGGTGTGTGGGGGCTGCATGCACCAGTCGTGGCTGTAATAAGGTCAGGAACGATGGTTTTGTTTAAATCCCTGCGGGTTGTTCTTTGTTCTTCTTCCCCTTGCTTTGAGGTGCCGACGGAACAGCACAGAATGAACGTTTTGGGTTTTCCAGACATGGCTCTTTTTTGTTCTTCTCCTACATCTGCCCCCACCCCCCACAAGCCCCCATGGCCTCTGCTGCTCACATCAGGACCTGCTCTCGAGTCTCTGGCAGGCGCAGAGCCAGCAGGCCACCCCCAACCAGGGCGGAGGAGGCCAGGAGGATGGGAACCACCTTGGTTATCCCTACGAAGGAGGAGAAGATGGAGTTCCCCAGGATGGCACCAAACTTGCAAAGCCCGTTGAGGATGCCAAAGGCTGTTGCCCTGTGGGGAGGAAAAGCAGAAAGCAATGGTTGGGAGGCAGGTTCTGGCACAGCTACAGAAGGTTTGGATGGGTATTTTTGTGAATGCTCTTATGCTTCCCAGGCTATGCTTCTAGCAAGCAAAACTGAGTGGCATAAATCAGTAGATAAATAGATGCAGCTGTTTTGTGTGTCTGTGTGAATGGGAAGAATGTCTGTGTGCACTCATTTCTCCTTTTCATTCTACCTTCTCCCTAGCTCTAGAATGGCCCACTCTGTCAGCATTTGCCCTCTCCAAAGACAGGAGGACAAAATCTGTACTAGATCTCCTCAAAGCCCTTCCAAGGGCTGTCCGGACTGGATTGTCACCAGAGACCATAGCTTTCCTCTAAATTCTGTTTCACCCAGCAGCTAAAAGTCCACTTCTTTTAATGTACAGTCCCTCTCCTTCATTTCTGGCTTGCCCCAAGAGTCTGAAAAAGGCAAAAAGGGGCTTATAATAATATGAGGAAAGATTTAATCCAGAGGACACTGTCCCAAAGTCTCTTGATCTTCCCCATGTCCCAAATCACTCTGTCTACATGGTTTTCTCCAGGTTTTGGATGGGAGGGCTGCTCCAGTGATGGGCCATGATGAGAGGATGGGGATGCAGTGTGAAAGGCCAGATCTCCATGCACATCCGTGGAAATGACAGAGTACTTCTTTCATTTTACAACTAGTTGATCTTTAGGGTCCCTTCCAACCCAAACCATTCTGTGATATCATGATTCTCTGATTCTTCGATTTATCACCTGATAATTTCCATATGTCCATGTGATCCCTGTGTTCAACCTGCCATGCATGCAGAACTATGCTTGCGGAGTAGTTCTGTTCTGACCCCGGACTACACAGCCCTGAAGGACTGGTGAAAGTAAAATAAATAAAAATACACAGCTTTCTTCGCTGGGAACCAAGAGGACTAGGCAGAGGGTGGGGATTTGAGGAGAAATGTTCTGAGCACCTTTTGTCGGTGGGGTAGAGCTCCACGGTGATGACATCCAGGGCGTTCCAGGCGGCGATGCTGGCCCCGCAGAAGAGGCACTGCCAGCCGATCATCGCCGACTCGCTGTTCCCGAAGAACAGGAAGAAGCAGCACACGGCAGAGATCAGCATCGAGCCGCCTGCAGGGGGAACCAACAGAAAAACACTGGTACAGCTTCTTGCCCGATTGTACTCTTCCCCTGACTCTTGTCGCCCTGAATTTTTAAGATTTTCTAAGCCTTATGTGGTTTGTGTCCTTGTAGCAAAAAACTTTCTCGCACACTTTCTGTAAATAGCTTATTGCTTCACATTCTTTTATTCTTTTCTAATCTGATAGACTGTTGGTTTGTCCAGTGTCATTGGAGAGGTGGCACTGTCACCATTTTTTAAGATTTTCTAAGCCTTCTGACGTTCGCATCCTTGTAGCAAACTTTCTCGTGCACTTTCTGCAAATAGCTCATTGTTTTGCGTTCTTTTATAGAAAAAGAGAAATTTGATAGACTGTTGGTTGTTCCAGTGTCATTGGAGAGGTGGCACTTTCACCCTCCAATCCACTGTCACTGCTTGAAAATTATAAATGTTAGAGTCAGAAAATAAACTTCCCTTTTCTTCACCCTGAGAACAGCAGTGTGTGTGCTCGTGTTGTTTGGTGTCCTATAGCGACAACAGCTGAATAAATACATTTGTTAAAGATAAATTTCAAGTGATGGCATTTCATCCCAATAACTATTAAATCTCTGAGGATCCAAAAACACCTTGATGCTGCCTATCTGTCATTCTCTGATGCTGGAAGCCAGCCTGGAAATGTTCTCAAAGTCCACCTGATCTTGCTGATAGTCCTGCTCTACAAAGACTGGGAAGACAGGCAATTCCAGGCAGGCTTCCAGCATCTCAGACTTCCAGATGGACCCAGGGAGAGCAGAGGCAAGTAAACATGAAAGTCAATGAGGAGGAAGCATCATTGTGAAGGTTTTTCAACTTGAGTTTCTAGTGATAAGCTTGTGCGTTTCATATCGTATCACTTGACACATTTCTAGTCCCAATTAGGATAATTTACAGTCACTTGTATGAAGCACTTGAGGTCTCTTTTAATTATAAGAACATCATTAGATTTCATGGCACATTTGCACAGGAGCCATAATTTTATGAACATCACCGAGGGAGAAAGTGAGAGCATTCATGCTCAGTTAGGCACAGTTCAGATTCAGAATTATTAATAGCTACATCACTGCTTTCTACCCCATTGAGAATTTTCAACTGAAAGATAAAATTTGGGAAAAATCAAACTATTTTTCACCAGAATGTTCTGTTATCACTGAAATATCTCCATTTATTACCAGGAAAGCAAACAATTTTCTCTGTTTGGTGGTTTTGGAGTCAATTTAGCACATCATCCAAAATAATTTGGATGTTGAAGTGTAACTAAAATGCTTCAACTTGGACATTGTATTGTATCTTGCCACTGCAGTGGCCTGCCTATGAAAAGCTGCTGTGCAGGACTCCTTGTCCCCTTCTCCTCCATGGTACAAGGCCAGACTACATCCCCACAGTGTGCTGTGGATATTCCCCCTGCTGCAAAAGCCCAGCCCAGCACTGGTCAAGGCACTAAAAGATCTGCTGTTTTGCACAAGATAAAGTTTGGTAGAAAGTGATAAAAATGAATTGAAGCCCCAGAAAAGCACATAACACAAAGGAGAAATTCAGTTTTCCTGTTAAGCTGACCAGAAATAATATGTTCCACAGAGTGATACAGGTGGGATGCCAGAAGGCTCTTTCAATTGGAAATTCCATAGTGAAGCGTTTCAGCATGTCATTACTAATTTTTGTCCTGTTCTCATCTTTTTGCAGGAGAAATAAGCATTTAGGGCTCCAGCTGTCATCTCAATTCCAGATGAAAATGCTGAAATGCTGAAATGCTGACATGTTTGCAGGATGGACAATCTGATTCTCTTTCAGCTTCCTCTAATTTATTTCTCACAGGCCTCTGGTTTGTTGGGGTCTTTTTCAAATTCACCACATGAATGCTCATTTTTCCTCAGTGTAAACACCTGAGACAGTAATCTTGCTCTACTTTAACCTGTCTGCAGGTGAGGCTGAGCTAAACCTTCCCTGTGTTCTCAGAGGAGAGACAGCAGCTCAAGAGAGTGATTCATCCCTTACCCCTGAGCCACATCCCTGATTTTATTACCTTCCTTTGGCTGTCCCTCAGGGCATGATTCCCATATCATGGGATGGGAGCAAGGTCTGAACCCTGGAGGCTGCAACATCAGCAATTCCCAAAGTATTCATAAAGCTGATAAGGTGATAACGTGATAACTTGATAACTTATTCCCATGATGCTAAAGGGTGGCTCCTTTCTTGGCTGTGACATGGCCAGTTAATTTACCATATGGTCTCTGAAGCTGCTTGTGCAATCATGTGAAAATCAGATAAAAAACCAAAAGGGGGAACTCCTAGGCTGTCAAGCTGCCACATCAAATAACCTTTGTGAATATTCATTGCTACAAGCAAAATATTCATTCATTTATACAGAGGCTTTGGACTTCAGCAGCAACCCAAGTGGACCAAGAGCTCCTTTTTTAGCTCTGACCCTGATTTGCTGAACACTGCAAAAACATGCTGGATTTGACACAAAAGGCAAAATAAATTTTTAAAAAATGTTACTGACACACAGAAAAGCAGGGTGAGGAGGTGGGGAGTAGGTCACTTACTGGCACAGATCACCTGCCTGACCCTCTAGTCTTTATCCTTCTGCTCCTTTCGTTTTGGGGATGACAAATTCACACTGAGCAGGGCTGTTTGCAGGGCTGAGCTCCACCCTGTCCTGCCCCATCACCGCCATCCCCACTCACCAATCATCTTTATCCTCCCAATTTTGTCCATGAGCAGAGCAGAGATGATGTTGCCCGGCAGCACGGACAGGCTGCCCAGGAAGCTGACCAGGTAGATGAGGAAATCATTGTCCTCCTCAAAGTCGATGTGGCAGCCTTCCTTCTCCTTCATGAAGGTGCTGTTGATGAGCCTGCAGTTGATGAATTTGTGTTCGTAGAGATCTGGGAGGGAAAGAGGCAAAGCTTGACCCTGCTTGGCTGAACTCTCCTCATACAACAGCAAGGACCAAAACAAAGACCCAAAAGGTTTCTCATCCATTGGCAATGGCCAGGGAGTATTTATTTCAGTGGAAATTTATTGGAGGGGCAAACTTTAGCTGAGCCTTTGGCTCCTGGCAGATGCAAACTCATACACTCCTTTTATCTGTGGAGTACACTCAGTATACTGAACCAGTATTCCCATGCCACAAGGACAGGGCAATGCAGGCTTTGGTTCTCATAGCATTATCATTTGTTCTTTATTAGATTAGAAGTTAAGAGCTTTTTTTTTTTTTAAATAAATTAATGACTTTTTAAAGTGAATTTTATTAGTGACTTTTGATATAAATTAGTGACTTACTTTACTGCTGATGATCTTCAACTGCCGGTGGCTTGAATTTATATTTTAAGCCAGTTTTACTGAATAGAGCTGTAAAGTGCTGAGAATTTTGCCATTCCTTTAACCTGTCAGGGCCTGAGTACAGAATTTGGCATTTCCCATACACCCAGAGACGCCAGAAGCCATGGAATCAAAATCTCTGATGGAGCCATCTGAGGTCTCCTTCCAAATGCATCACACTCTTTTCCTCCAGCATCACTCTCATTACCCAGCACACACTCCAACACACAGATCCCCACCATCCTTTCTCCCAGAAAGCAGATAAAATAGTTCTAATAAAATAGTTTCATGATAAAAAAAGTTCCCAGTTACAGAGATGACACCACAGCAGGAATCCCATTACCGGTGTTATAAAAGACAGTAGAGATGATGGTGCAGTTTTCAAAGAAGGTCTCAGTGGATCTCACATCTTCAAAGTAGCAATCCTCAAATAATGAATCCTCAAATCTCACCTCCTTGAATTTCATGCCAATAAATCTGTGGGGCAGGAAACAGAACCTCACTCTGTGCTTTAAGATATTTTCTACACTGTATAGTGTGTAATGGCTATTTCAAGAGACAGAGCACTAATTCTAATTTCTAGTTTGTTTACAGAAAAGGTGTTGCTTCTGTGTTTTATTAGGAGGGAAGGGTCTGAAGAGTATTTTTTTAGAAGAGACATGGATCTTATAGGATTTGTGCAGTTTTTATATTCCTCACAATAATCATATCTGAGAAAATGTGCTTCTAAAGCTGAGGGGACACAAATCCTCTTGTGTTCAGTCCTAATCTGTCTGAAGATGATGGAATTTGACTCAATGCAGGGCATTTCCTTCATGAGCTGACCTTGCTGCCTTCCTTAGTCTCCCCTTTCCTCCATCATAAATAAAAGCAGACATTATCAGGAGCCTATTGAGCCATTTGGTGAAAGGTTTCTGACAGTTGTTTAAACTCAAAGTGATTTTTTAAGTGAAAATGCAGCAGGGATTCTGGAGAGAGTGGGGGGATAATCTGAGTTCTGCTTGTAACCATCTCTGTTTGAGGTTTATTACTTACCATGTAATGAAAACAGATTTCACTAAAAATAATAAACTGTGTCAGGTGATTGATTTCTCCTCTGATGGGAAGTGTGACATGTCTGACCTGGCTGCCTGAAGGATGACACAATATTGATTTACCTGTGAGATTTTGCAAGAACACTGAGAAGATGTATTAGGTAATGCACAGACATGTTTAGGAGATGTAAGGAGCTATTAAGAACAAGCATTATTGCTCCAGTTAAAGAGGCCATGACTGTCACCAAATGAAAAAAAAGCCTTCTAACATAGACTCTGCAGCTTAATTGAATTGAGCACTTTTAACACAGCATAACGTGATGGTTGTTTACACCTTTAAATGGGCACTGCAGGGCTTCTTGACTGAGCCTACTAACAGAAATTATTAATGCACAAAATACCACAAGAAGGTTATTCAAGTGTTTTGCTCCATGTAGAGGGTCTCACAGGTTACAGCAAAACTTAAGCTGTTCTGCATTTTCTCAGTGATGTATTTACTCCTTGTAATGTATTTACTCCTAAAGGCTGTTAAAACCCATTTTCCCTCCTGCAGTTTGCTTTTTAAACACCCAACTTTAGAAGACTCAGAAAGCAATGGCCTGGTGATGCACGGAGTTTTAGCTAACAGCCAAGGGCTGCAGAGCAAACACAGCTGTAAACCATTCTGAGATAATTTCTGGGTATTACTGCAATTTAGCTTGATGAGGTTTTGAGTATTTGAAATGGAGAGGGCCAAGGTGGGAGAATAGTGATTTACATCAGTTTTATGTCTTCAACCAGCCAGTGTTGAGTATCCTTAATTCTCAGTGAGGTTAGTGAAAATTCAGCACCTCCTGTAGGCATAAGAAAATGTCCCCAGTCCCTAAATTTGACCAACATCCACTTCTAACCACTTTCTTTTGTGGGACAGGAATGGTAAGGCTAGGTTTGCATCATCAAGCTCAGCTCCTTGCTGCAGGGAAGGTGTATGGAAGGACATGAGGACACATGTTGGGGTCCCTCATCAAATATATAAAATATATAGCAAGGAAATGGTTTCTGAGGGGATTAGAACAACCTGGCTGGGCAATAGGATGTGATTTCAGCAGTGAAGATTAAAACAATCTTTGTGAGTTTTGTGTAACCTTGAATATAGGGAGGGGCTGCCTCCAGCATGGCAGCTGGAGCAGCATCCTGTTAGGTCTACCTGGGGCAATGAGATCCCAGAAATTACAGAGGGATATTTTTCCTTTTTATTGGGATTTTGAATAGTAGTAATGGAATGACCAGGCTTTACACTGCTGTGGAACATAGAGTGATTGGGGTGCAGGCTGGATGCAGAAGAAAAAACAAGGCCGGCCCAAATAGGAGGACAAAGGGAAGGAAAGCAATGATGTTCTGCTGGAGCAAATGCACTGACTTCAAAACACTAAAACAGAAGGTGACTCATCTGTAGGGAGACAGTGACTGCAGTGGGAGAAGCACCCCATCATGGCCATAGCCCAGCTTGCACTAATGGGCAGCAGGATGGAGACTGGGGTAATTCATATAGAGGACTTCAAGAAGAAATAGCTTTTTATTTTGGAAATCCAGCAGCAATTTCATTAGCAGTGTCTGCCCAAGCCCAGTAGATGTCAGTGTGGGCTAAGGAAAAAGAAGTCACCTCTGCATGCAAGGCTGCCCAGCACAACCAGGTGGGCACTTGCTGCCCTGATCCCAGCTCAGGGCTGCTGGAAGTAGAACTCCTCACTGGCATCCCCTGGGTTCTGCAGAAGTCAGTGACAGAGGCAAAGTAGGTGGAAAAAAAGGATTAAAAAATTCTTTGTCTGTCAAAACCTGCTCTGGGACTTGAGAGATTTAGATTGAATGTCCGAAAGAACAACAGAGAAATTCATGATGATGGAAAATGGAAAAGAAAGAAAGAGCTTTCTAGAAAATAATTTCAGTTTGAATGCATCAAAGCAAATTCTGTTCACTTACTTGTCGTTCCTGTATTCCCCATTTCTATGGATCTGGTTTTCCAGGGTGAAATTGAAGGTGAAATGGGACACTTCTTCCTCATCAAAGATCTTCACCCGGGAATCATACGCCTCGTCTTGGAAATAGCGGATCATGTCAGGGAACCAGACAATAAGGCCATAGTAACTGCAGCAGGATTGGGAGACACATCAGGACACAAGATTCTTCCAAAGACCCACTTCACAGCTTACAAACTTGTTAAACTCCAAATGTGAAGGCATGTCTGACACAAATCCTTGCTCAGTTCTGACACAGGACTGAGCAAAGTGTTTCTACACTCTAACCACCCTGTTGATCTCAGAAATAAATTGGTCCATTCTCCTTCTCTTGAAGCAGGACAATTCATTTCAGGTCCCCTTGGCTGGGGAATACAGAACTGTGCTAATCTTGCTACCCATTAAAATAGCAGACAATAAACAAACTGGGCTGATTTCTGTAAGTGGGTAGTTCAAGCGAGTTAGACAAAATTTACCTGTAGTTTAGACTTAGATTCCCCTGAATAGTTTTGATCTAGACTAAGGAACAGCTGAGAGTCTGGTAGGGTTGTGTCTTTTTTGTGAGTGTGGACAAGATCAAATGAAAGATCTAAAGGTGAGAAAGTCAATCTATTACTGGGCTACCAACCACTTCTCAAGTCCTGATTTGTTCAGAGCACCTTGTACTTCGTATGAAGCAGTCAGATTGATGAATATTTGTAGGAGAGCAAGGCTTAGTTCACAAAGACTCTTTAAAATAAGACCAGGATTAATTTTGTAACAGTTTATTAACATGTGTAAATAACTATTCAGACTCTGAATGGTGCTTTAGTTTCCTGAAAAATATAAAATATCTTCCTTACCTTAAGGCCATTGTAAACCAAACCACAGCCAGCATCAGTGTGTTCATCCTGTACTGGGCTGTTAAACAGTATAGCACGTTGTCCCAGACCTACAAATCCACAAGAAGGAATTAGCTGCCAGGACACCCCAGCAGACACTTGACAGCTTAATTTCTGAGTGCATTATAAACCTAATGTCAGAAAAATGGGTTCATTAGAGGGAGGTCAGATGTGTGGCTTACATTCAGTGTTTTTTTCAAAATTATATTTATCGAGTAAATGGCTTACAAAAAATCACTTATTCAGCTCAGTGCCAGAGTACTTGATCTGAGCCCTCTGTAATGAGCTAGAGTGCATGGTCAGGGCTGGGTATGAGGCAGTGTCTCTGTCAGGTTATATCAGCAAACGTGGATATGAGATTGTTCTCAGACCCTCTGACAACTTTATCTTTTCAAATAGATGTATGGTGTCAGGAGTGCTTTCAAACTGAGATCAAAAGCTCTCTGAAGAGCAAAAGCCCAAACACAGCTGGCATTTTACGAGGTATAAGATGAAATCAGGTAGGGATGAAGCCAAGCAGGAGGCAAACCAAATTCTGCTCTTGACTCACTGCAGAAAATGCTGCCAAGAACATGAGGGGATGCGACTCCTCAAGCTCTTATCTTGACATGTAATTATAGTAATAGTATAACATCTGCATTGCTATTTAGAAGAACTTTCCTTTATTTCCACCTCATCCTTCAACACTAGAAGTTTTAGCAAGGTTTTCCACAGTCCTACATGGGCATTAGGTGAGCAGCATAGCAGGTGTGAAAGGTTAAATTAGCCCAGGAGACAATACAATATTCTTAGAAACTTGGTCTCAGCAGGAGCAAAGAGCAAGCACTTTCTGCCTCCACTGCAGGTGGTAATTCCACTTAAGGCTTGGGGAGAGAGAATCAATATTTATCTGCCCAAGTGCTTGGGGCTGTGGCTGCTCCTGGAAGCTCTGCACTGCTGGAAGGCAGTGATGCTCACAGGGGCATCAATTTTGGGGCCTGGCTGGCAGCATGGCAGCTTGCACACATCTGCATGGAAAATGCACTCAGATTACAACTCTTTGCAAAAACCAGATTTTCTGAGGTGGGAGTCAGGGTTTCAAGGTACAATGACCTGTAGCAAAGAGGCACTGGAGCACTGTGTGAAGTTTTTTTCTCCTCTTTACCTGTTTTAAAGTAGTCGTGATTCTGACCAGCCACCGCTGGTACCAGGTCCCTGTTGAGCTCTGGATTTCAATAAATTCATCTACTTGCTTTGGGGTTTTGATATAGGAAACCTGGAGGAAAAAAAAAAAAGGAAAAAAAATTAGACTGCAATTTCTAGAATTGATCTTTGGTGGATTTAAATTCCACTGTTTTCTGGGCAATGTTTCCCTATTATTTTTTCCTTGAAAGTTAGCATTAGCAATTGAGCTCATTGATTTAATTACAGCAAGAGACTACTAACAGAAATAAGCCTTGCTTCCTTCTTTTCATCTATCCCTTCATCCTCTCTCTCTCTCCTCTTCCATGAAATATTTTAAGCACATCATGTCTACTTTAAACTTTCATTTGCTGGCTAATGTACCTGTATACTACCTTATTTCTCTATCTTCAGATTCCCACTACAAATCAGGACTCAGAAAGTATAGTAAAAACTGTCTCCAAGATCAGCCACTTGTACTCAAACTGTGTCCTCAGGATTTCGTTCTTCTAAGACAACCAGCAGGAACATTTCTCATTCAACATCTTTTAAATACCACTGACAGAACTTCTATGACAAATAAATGTGTAGATGGGAATCTTTGCAGCTGAAAATGTATCCTGCCATCAAGTGAGCCCACACAATGCAACCAGCTTGCTTCACCAAAATAATCTGAATTTTCACTGCTGAATACCTGAACTGGACTGCTCAGGAAAACTTACAAATGTATACCAGAAAATATTTGCCTAGTAAATTTGATTAAAGGACATATTCAAGGAAAACAGAACTGTTTGTAAACACATGGAGGAGGCGAAAATCTGCTGAATAAATTTCTGAGTGTGAACGAGCGCCTTGGCTCAGCTCTGGAGTCTCCGCATTCCTCTTCCTGGCAGTGATTAAATGTCAGATCTGGGAGCTGTCCCGTTCAGGCTGACTCACCACAAACTGACAGCTTCTGGCCTGTCAGAAAAGCACAAACCTGGCAGTTTGTGCCACACCAGGAGCAGTGATCAGCCTCCTGTGCCAGGGGTGTCAGCACATCTCGGCTCAGCTCCTCCACTGCAGTCACGGCTCTGTGGCATGGAGTAACCAGCGCTAATGGGGGCTGCACAGCTGCTCCTTCATTCTCCTACTCACCTCAGACTCTCATAGTGCCCTACTTTGTGAGATACATATATATATTCATATATATTTATATTTGAGATTCATTTCCCAGCTCGGCGTTACAGCAAAGCCGGTGATGGATTTGAAGAAAACCACTTCTCACCTTTGCTATCAGGGCTTGCATTACTCAAATGGTTGGTAGCCTAAAAATAACACATGCTCATTAAGATCCTACATGAACCTGCTTGCAGTTGTCATGCTCAGATAGGAAATTTTATTTTCCTTGAAGGATCACTCTCGAGGGGCACAGTCTCCTGACAACCCTTCTTAACATGGAGCTTTGCTTTCCTTCTTGATCAAAAATACATGTTTCACACACAAGTGTATCTCCTTTTCTTTCCATCCTTTAAAAGCATCTGTGCTCTCATCTTTAAAAGAATAAATCAAGTTCTTCCCTGGCTGGCTCACCAGGATTTCAACACTGAATTATAGTAATTTGCAGCTAACCCCAGCATAAACCTTTCCTCTGATTTTACTGTTAACCACTCTGCTGGTGTGACCTTTTTCACAACAAGCAGCAGGCCAATGAGTAATAGCCACTCATCCCGCTTTCCCTTGGAGAGATTAAAGACTGGATATGAGGCAGGTGGAGTTGGGAAAGCTCATTAGAAAGTACGTTAAGTTTAATCAGACTTTGATTAGAAGCCAGAATGGAGAAAGGAGTGACTCAGGCCTCCCCCATGGCTAATATGTCTCTTATTTTGTTTTAGTCTCTTAGAGCAAGCTAATTAAACACTTGCATAATTGAGAAATCACTGGTCTAAAGGATGTAGAGTAACACCAGGAATGAAGAGTACTTGCTGCAATTGACAGACTTGACTAATTATTGGAAAAACAGACTGGCATCTAAGTTTAAACCCACAAAATGTTTCTCAGAATCCATTTTCTGGTTGCTGGGGGAGAGATTACATTGAAAGAGTCCCGAGGAGAAATAAAGTCGTGCTGTGCTGCTCTAAGGAGGGTATGTCCAGCTTTTCTTAAGCAATGGCTTTGCTCAACTCACCGTAAACACCCTCTCTGGCTCGCCCTTGGCACGCATGTTGGTGTCATGGACCTGCTTGAGAATCATCCAAGCTTCATCATGTTTACCAATCTGAAAACACCAAAGAGAAGGAAAGCAAGTGTTCAAGCTCCCAGCTCTGTAATTTATCAAAGCACAGAGAGAAAGCAATTCTAGAGGTCCAGCATAGTAGAGAAGCACACAGACAGCCTGGGCTGCATGAAACCCAAAGAGCTGAAGGCATGGTTGGTATTCACAGAGTGCAGCATCTCTGTGCTGGAGAAAGGAATTGTCCTAAAACTGCCTGAGGCAGAAAAATGGTCAGGAGAGAGCTTTAAAAACACATAGAAGAGGAGATGGATGAGGAGAACTGGACTCATCCCAACTCTGCTAAAGACTTGCAGGCTTGAACTATGTATTGCTACATTTCCCATCTGTGGAGATACAGAAACTTGCTTAAGATTTCTGAGCTTTAAGTATTTTTCTCAGTGAAATGTGCTTTACCCTTTGCTCTACCACCAGGATTCTGCAGTTCCATGCCCAAACTCTGCGAGATGTTTTCAAAGTGCCTTTGTTGGACTGATAAAATTCCCATCTCTCACTACCTTCCTTCTGTACCCTATCTGGCAGTGACACACTAATCATCAGTGATTGACCCCACAGTCTGCAACCTTTGGGGTTCAAGCAGTCTGTGGAGCTGGTGTAGACACACAGGAGTGGCTTTGCCTCTGAGCTTGTGCTCTGTGTGTTTGATGGGACAAAGACAGACAGACAGTGGCACATTAGGGACCTGCCATCCTCTGCAGGTATCAGAGATGAATCACCTTACCTCCAGCAAAAACCGTGGGCTTTCAGGCATGAATTTCAGTGCCACCAGGGAGGCGATGCAGGGCAGGGCACACACCAGCACAAAGACTCTCCAGCTGTGGAAGTGGTACTTGGTTCCCATACTGAACCCCCAGCCTGGAAACAGCAAGAGCCAACAAGTGAAAATACTGACCAGGAGTTCTGAGTTTTCCTCTGCTCAGAACTCTGCAGCTCTGTATGACATGAGGGCAGGTTGAAAATTTGCTATTCTTAGTGCTGGTGGCTCTTGGAGGCTCGACAGCGTGTTCAGTGGATGGCAGCAAGTTTATGTTCATTAGAGAAATTGGAGCATGGTCAGGCTCTGCCTTTTAAAAACCTTCTTTTATCTTTCAGTTTAGAAATCACCCAGTGATAGGAACAGCTCAGAGCAGCTGTAGGCAAGAAAGGCTGGAAAATGGTGCAGGAATAAGGGCTATAATTGATTGCTTCTCAGTGATATTAGTGAAGGTTTACAAAGGTTAAATCTCTGATCTGAGAGGCACTTTAGAGACAGCTTCTTCCCATCTCCTACATCACATGTGTATTTCACATTTCATGGAAGTGAGCAAGAAAAGCAAGTTTTTTTTTTTTTCCCAGACCTATAAAAACCTGAGCTGGTGTTCAAACTTAAAAACATCAAAATCCTAATCCTGCATTTGAGATACCCCTTCTCTTGCTTTTTTTTCCTGGTGTTTGACCAAGTTCGGCATTCCCCTGCTAAGAACTGGAAAGTACAGCCTCATTCTCTTACATTGCTCCATTCACTCTCCCTAGGCTCAAATCTCATAAGGAGCGTTAAAATAATTTTTTTTCCTATAAAAATTTTATTCACATAATAAGGAAATCATCAAGCAATGGGTATTGCAGATGTCTCATCTGAGCCAGTCATGATGTTCTAATGATTTCACAAAGTTCCAAAAGAGTAGGTGGAACACTGGAAATCAAAAAAGAAGCTACAAAAACACAATATCAAAAAGTCATCTGAAAAATAATTGTAATGTAAATATCTAAGGGCTTTTAAAAGCAATGTTGTTGCAGGTAATCGAATTATTTCTACCTGAAACCACTGCAGTAAGTTTACCTATTTCTTCCAACAGTCTCTGTCACATCAATCAAAAGCATGAATATTTCTTTATAGTGAATGTGCTTTAAATGTGCTAAAAATGAAATGATGGATAGGTAAATGTTAGTGGTTTCCTTCGTGGGTTTTGTGAACTGTCCTACTTTCCTCAAACAGGATTTTGCAAACAGCTGGTGTCACTGAATACTGGGGGAATTAATCTTTTCCAGTAGATATTTGCTTCTGGTGTTTCCCTAAGTTATATACACAAGTTACAAGGAATTCCATGCTACATGAAGACTTTTGCTTCTCAGAGCACAAGTAAATTTCAGTTTCCAGCCATCTACTTTTTCATTCCCACTTCCAGCTGAGGGCAGGGAACCCATTCCACTCCTGCATCCATTTAGGTGAAGTCAGGGGTGACTTCAGCCCATCTCATGCTGGGCAGATGTGTCACAGGGACACAGCCCTGACAGTGTGGACACTTGGCTAAGGGAAAGCACATGTGCCGTGCTCACTGCTGTCATCAACAGCATCCAGTGATTCCCTGATTAAAGTTGCTTATTTTCGATAACTGGATCAATTTTTGACATATAATCTCAGTCAATTTTTCCCTGAATGAGCTGACATTCAGATGAAGAGCTCAGGCTCCAGCAGTGTAATTCAAGGGATGTATTTGAGACTTTAGATGGAAAGCAGCCCCATTGAGTCCTATCTACAGCCTCAATACCTATCAGTCAATCGTGCAGTCAATCTATGAGACCTTATGTGAGCACTTCAGGTATCTATTATTTTCAGTGCTATTTATGCTGGGATGTGTAAGAACTGTCACTACCTGTGCAAGGGTTTGGGGTGGTGTAGTGGTGCAGGAATGTGGTGGTGCAGAAATTCAAAAGCACAAATTACCGTAATGTGGGATGATGCTCCAAGCCATTGCTGAAGCATAAATGCCACCAATCATCCAGAACATGCAAAGCCAGCTCAGGTGTTCCCCCCTCTTCTCACGAGACAGGAATTCAGAGAAATAGGCAAACACGATGGGGAGGGTGCCCCCAATACTGAGGAGAAAAAACAGCACATGAGAAAAATGAGAGTCAGCATCAATGTGTTTGTGGTTAGGATTGCATGTTTAATGAGGGAAGGTCACACTCACAGATGGGCTGCTCAGAAGTGAGACTTCTGAGGAAAAATGCAAATCTCTCTTTGGCTGGACTGGCTTTAGACATCAAAGACGAACAAGATCCTTCTCATGCTCTAAAAGCTGAATTTTCTATAGTTTGTACAAACCCAGAGTAATACTCTACTCTTCACTTAAACATCTCCTCTTGTTATTTCAGGATCACTCATTTTATGGAGGCAAAATACAGGCAGCCAATGGAAACTGCTGAGGATCTCATTGGAGGCCTTGAAGGTGGGCATTTTTCAATCTCACCCACATTTCTGCACAGTTTGGGCTGTACCCGAAGAACATCAATGACCAAACTTTCCCACCATTACAGCTCTAATGGTCAAGAGTGAGATAACACAGCCACACATCCCAAATGGCAATTCCATCCTGGCTGGGCACCAAGGATGCATCTCCTGAGCACCTTTCCTTGTCCCACCCCACACCCCACACTGCCCAGCTGTGCTGGGGCTGCCCCAGGCCAGGTTCACCAGGTACCCACCCGAGGCCTGAGATAAGGCGGCAGAAGAGGAAGAATCCGTATCCCTGGACGAAGGAGGAGAGGAACGCAAAGGCAGCATTGATTGCAAGTGATATGATGAGGCATTGCTTCCTTCCCAGTTTGTCAGCAAGGCCACCCAGCAAGACAGCCCCCACCATCATTCCTAAGTAGACTATCAAGCCTGGAAGGGAGAGAGACAATCAGCTTGTTAACAGGGTGAAAATAGTACACAGAGTAGAAGCAGATTTGAAAGTGCCCATGTGGCAGCTGATGTTGTCCTGGCATACTGTGCAATAGAGATACTCCTAACCACCCCAAATCTCAGAAACTCTGCCCAAATTTTCCCATCTCGTGCCTGAGAGCTTGCATCACTTGAGGCAATGTGGACATACCCTCATTTGACCAGCCCCACATCTTTCCTTCCCAACCTCGCCGCTCACATTTCCCCTGCACGTAAGCAATGGCCAGGCATAAGCAGCTTAGGACGCACGTGTCCCAGCTATGTGCCACCAACAATACAACAGAAGTCTGATGTCTTAACTCCTCTGACCCCCCTGAGTGCAGTGGGATGGAGGATGCGTAGGGAGAGGCTCTGTCAGGCTGCTGTTTATGCTCGGAAAGCTGTGAGAGCAGAGGGGCTGATGAAGCATGGCTAAATCTCTTTGCAGTGTTTCATCTCTTTCACTCTCTGCTTTTCCCAGCTGTGTCTGAAAGGATCAGTCTGTTACCCAGACTCACCTCGTGTAGCTCAGCTACTTCCTTCGTTACTGAGCCAAGATCTGGTGTCTAACTAAAGGACCGCTTACTCAAGAGTGCAGTCTTGATCTGAAAATTTCAGAAGGGAGAATCTAAGTCTTGTCTGGACAGTTTGCTCTGTAGAGTTATCTCTCTAACATTGTTAAGAAAGAGGGATTCTTCTTTTTAACTTGACTTCACTAGATTTTCTGGTATGGGGTCCTCAAAGACAGTCTCAATGACTCATTTACTGCCAGGCTGAATAGAAGAGAATGGGTTTCCACCTTGGGTAATCTCCCTGTACCCTGCTCAGTTTGTGCTTGCCACTCTCCTGGAGAACATGGAGCTGTCCTTTCCTCTTCTACGGCCACTGCTGCAGAAGATCCACAGATTTTATTGCCTTTTTTTTTATGCAGGTACCAGTGTAAATAACACTAGTTCATAATGCTCAAATGTTCAGAAATATATTTTTCATTTGGGGACCTGTCAGGTTCAAGACCCAGTTGAGCAGGGGTTGAAGGAAAGCAGCAGTGCTCCCTGCATCCCTAGCCCTGAATGAGGGCATTGGATGCTAAGCAAGTAAATACACTGCCTTAATACGAAATATTCCTATTCATTGATTGAAGAAATACAGCTAAAAGGAACATTTTTCAGGCATGGTTGACTCTTTGGAGGTTCTTTCCTCACCTTGAAACAAGCTTGGCTTCTCTTGCAAGCCAATGCCTTCCCCAGGTTCTGTTCTGTCAAATACACTTGGAAAACAAGGTGGCAATGAATGTGTTTGTAATTTATTAATGTTTAAACAAAACAATCAGTCTGGTGGCTGAAGGCAGCTCTGTGCCATCCAGCAAAGCCAGCTAAGGGCTAATGCAGAGTTATCTGGCAGCTGATCCTGTCTTCCTTTTGATTGCAAATGCCTGCACTCAATTTAAAATGCATTACAAAATTAAAAGCTATGCAGCAGAGACCCATTGCAGCATTTGAAGGACACTTGCATCACATTGATCAGATGGGGAAAAGTTTGAATTTCTTAAATCTCTCTATAAATCTCTCTATTCCACAGTGGGGTCACCTATCTGTGAGTGATTCTTTTCAATCCACACGATGTCTGATGGGCAGGATTTGTGTGTCAAAGGCAAAAAATCTGTTCTTGTCTATTAAAAGCCTTTGTACCAGAACTGTGGAGCTGGATTTGGCCAATTGTACCTCCACCATGAGCACATGGCTCTGTGCTACCAATCCTTGCACTCCATGACCTACCCTCCTGATCCAAGCTGTGCTGGTGAGGAGATCTGAAGGTGTGTAAAGGTTTCAGGTACTGATCTCAAGAGAAGTTACAAACACATCTCAGAGTCTGGGATCTCTATTTCTATAAACTTTGACCTCCAGCAGGTTCACTGAAGTGCAAATTGCGAACGTGAGCCAAAGCAAAAACAGCTTCAGTCCAAAAACTTCCTGAAGGAAGGATCTTAATGCAGTGCTGGGTGGCTTAATGCTTTTACCCTGGCTCCTGAGCCACATCTAATGGAGCAACTCTGATGGCAGCCAGAGGAAGGAAGTGATGATAAGCCCTGTATCTACTCACTGGTGCATCACAGCCACCCATCTGACAGTGAGCCCTGCCAGCACTGCCAGACCCTGGGGAGGAAGAAAAAAGGATCTGCCAAACTTTTTTTTTTTTTTTTTTTTTTTTTTTTTTTTTTTTGTTCCAGAGAAAAATCCCTGGATGGCAGATGCTCATCCAAATCCTCTTAGTAATGGAAAATGTCCCGGGTCAGGAGGAGGTAGAGGAGATTGTTACTGTCTTCTAGCTGGTGTTTTACTGCAGGCACTGGTGAGGGGCAGCCTGATGTCTGGCCAGAAGAGTGGGCTCAGTGTGGGACATGGCAGTGCTTGAAACTCAACATCAAGTGGAGCTGCTTTTGTAAGCAAACCCCTGCAGATTCTGACTAAGGAGCCCAAACTTGGGATGGAAAGGAAGACTGGATCTCTGCAACACAGCATCCATCACACAGTGAGCAGATAAACCACAGCAGAGCTGTTAATGTCACAAATTCATCTAGAGGGTGTTGCTTAGTTAGTTATTGTATATGACAAATCAATTGATGCATGGTCCCTCAGAAATTTAAAACAATAAAAATCTGTAGTAAAGAAAATATCAGGGACAACCAGAGACTGTCTACTTGGCCAGGTTTTGAGGGAAGGATTCTGGTTATGGAAATATGTGCTTCAGGGTTGAAACAAAATCAACAGAACACTTCCTTATGATGGAGAGTTCTTTTTTTGGTGAAGACTGCATGTTCTGGCCAATGTAATTAAAATTTTGGGGTAGTTGCTATAGAACACTCTGTCAGCTGATGGATCTCGGGACCCAGGGTGCAGAACAAGGTCTGCCTTGCAGATTGCTGTGCCCTGGATTGACAACAAAGTGGCAGGGACCCAGGGAGAAATGGAATATTTACTCAAACAGCCTCTTTGCAGGGAGATAATCTTCCAGAGAACACAGTGATGGTCGCTACTTCTGAAAAAGATCCAGCCCATGTCAAGGACACTAAAATTTTAAGGAGAGTTGGACCAAGAAAAGTGATCACAACATGGTATTTCTTTTGCTGGGCTAGTTCTCTCCATCAAATATTCTACAGTACAACATTACAATGGTCTGCACCAGAACCGTGACTTCTAGACTTGGCTTCAAACCACACAGACTCAGACTGTGCTAGGAGGGATCAGCTTTACAATTGACACATTAGGTGTTCAGATGAAAATGTTAAGGGCAACTCTGAATAAGCCATTATTTGCAGGCTAGTCCTCAAGTCCTGGAGTATAAAGAATTCCTGTGGGAAAGTCTGCAACAGCTTCCCATAAAAGTGGTGGAAAACCAAAGAGCTGAAATTCTATGAATAAATTTTGGGTTATGACTCATCCATTGCTGAACTTATAAGGAAAATATGTGACCACTGACTGGGTTTATTCCCACTAGAAAAGGGGTAACATATTTAGCATTTTCACACTAAGAAATTTATTAGCCTTTACTGAAGTTGTGTGCTCTGTATGAGACAGGAATTTGAAGTTAAAAGCTGAAGTTCTAGGAATAAGGAAAGGAATATACTGCAGATACAGTATATGGCTCTGGGTGTGCTAAACTGTATTTTTACTACTTCTATATAAAGTCAACTTCTAAGGGTTTCAGAAAAAACCCATAAAATTTCAAGGTTTACCTAAATCTGCATCACAAGCATGAATTTTTCCTATTGTTAGTTAATGGGATTAAGGTCCTTAAAGAAGAGGCACATCTGAAAATAATCCCTTTAAGAACAGGACAAAGACTTGTGGAATAAATAGAAAATTTGAGCTGTTTGAACCAAATAGCTCACTGAGAAGAATTACTTCCAGAGTCCTTGGGGCTGTCAGGGAGGTGAGGAAGCTGCCTGGGCCAGGGTTGTCTCTGGTTTGCATGGAGCCAGTAACCACAGGAATGGGAAAGCTCCCACCTTACTTCCAATCCCAGGCCAATACCAGTACAGCCCTATGGTAAAAAAAAAGAGGCTCTTGAAGAGGGAAAGCATTTGGACAACAGAAAATTATTAGGACCTTATATACCTTGTAGTTCAAATTGCAATAAAACCAAAATTAAACTACTGTTACTGGTATTAGGGATACACCTTATGGACACAAAGAAAACTTTGTGGGTCAGGTCTGGACAATTTGGGAGATGGATGTGGCAAGGCAGAGGATCCAATTGTAAGTAATTAAAAGAGAGAAATAAAGTCGTGATCATTGTACCATAGTGATGGGAGGGTCTGACAGAGGATGAGCTGAAGGCTGGTGGTCTTTTTTTTCCATTCTTCCTGTAATATTCAATCTGCTCTTCCTAGAAGCTTTATTAATGCATTCCACATGAATCAGCTTGACCTTTTACATGGAACTCAAAGGAAAGGCTCATCCCATTGCACTCTCCTTGTTGGTTAATAAAAGCAGTGAGACTCCTTCCACAGCCCGCACCTCTGGCACTGGGAAGGGACTCTCCCATGGGAAAGGCAGCACTCCATTTTGGGAGATCTGTGTGTGGATTTTGGGCATTTCTGGCTGCTGGGATGGGGGGCTGTGCAGCTGGAGCCGGGGTGGGTGGGTGAGCCCGTGGGGCTGTGGCACAGCAGGGCTGGCGTGGGTGGTGTTTATGCTCAGCTGGCTCCACATGTCCCCATGGGACTTGTCCAGCACCACAGTATTCGTGGCACCATCTGGCTCTCCCCACCCAACCCTTCTGCTAAAGCAAAGATTTCAACAGAAGAAGCCAAACAAATCCTTTTCTGTACAACAAAACCTCCTCAAGCTGGAACGCATCAGATGAAATTCCCACAGTGTTTACAGATGGGGACGCAGCCATCCATCCCCAAATCAGACCTACACAAAATGTATGGTGTTCTCAAAGCACAAAAGCAAAAACATCTTTATTTTTTCCCTATTGCTCATGGTGATGATGCTCCTTGGGCTGCGCATTTTCAACCAAAAGCAAATTTGCAGCCAGGAATTCGTGCCTGACATGGGCAGGTCTCATCAGGGTGTGTTGGGGTCCATGGCCATGGAAGAGCAAAAAAGGCAGTAAATAACCATGGCAGAGTAAGGGAGCCATGGCTGGCTTTGTCTGTGCTCAGCCAGAGGAAATAAAAAAAAAAATGAAGTGGAGAAAAGCCATCGAGCTCTGCAGAGGGGATTAGGATTTACTGTCATATCAGGTGAATTCAGGGCAATGAGAAGCTGCGACCAGATTTTATCTCAGCTGATAATAAAACATCCTTTTCACACAACTAAAAGCAGGCATGTTGAACACATTTCTATTTAACTTGACTCACACAGCCAAGCTTGAGTTGCTATATAAAAGCATAATTGCTTATAGGATCTTTTTTACTAGTTTTTTTAATCCGGCATTGGGAGGTTAAGAGTCTGTAATATTACATTCTCCTTAAAAAAATTATCAATAAATCATAAAAAGGAGAAGGGAGCCTGAAAAAGCAATTTTATTCTCAGCCTTGGTGTAGCTGTTTTACAGTTAAGGGCAAAGCCCTTAAAAATTTCCTTGTCTCAGTTTAGTGAACTGTGAAATGATGATAACACAACTGCAGCTCTGGGATCTGGGAGGGCTGATGCTTTAACTGTGCCTTGAGTTTTTTATATGCAGGATGTGCAGAAGTTTAAAACATTACTATGTCATTATCTTTTATAATTGTGTACTTACTGCCCTTGCAAACATAATATTTAGTCGTCTAAGAAATGATTTATAGCATGTAAAGATATATATTTACAAGATATTTCTCCAAATAATGATACTACATGCTTTTCAGCAAATATAAAAATACAAATTTTATTACTCTTTTGATTATCCTTAGCATATTAAAAAGATGTTTCCAATAGTCTATATCATACTGAGGAGGAATATTCTGTCTCAGTAAATTTAAGAATTGAATTATTATTTTGTCTACTGCTTATAAAAGCTCAGCAAAGTTAATATCTCAAATAAATATGTGAAAATAAAGTTGTTACATGTTACCAAACTTATTCTTAACAACCTATAAGTTGATTAAATCAAACTGTTAAAATATCCATATTGTTGTTTCTTTTGTTTGCTGGGTTTTATTTTTGTAATACCTCTGAAATCATCTTTAAAATAGCATTTTTCATAAATTAAAAACTCCAAATACGTATTTTGTCCCACTCAGGATATTTAGGGCTAAAATAGCTGTTAATTTGCATCTGATGGTGAGATGTTTATTTTCAGAATGAAATGTAAACGTTTTGTAAGATGTGTCATATCCATTTCACACATTTCATGAAACACCGTGGGCATCTGTTTATTTGCAATTTTTGCATAATTTGGCCATAGTTTGCTTGATATTTTCCCATGACTGCTTTCCAAGGGAGAAAAAATATGCAATATGCAGAGTGTTTAATGCAAAATGTCCTTTTAACAGAAGCTGAACTTCACTAAATTGGTCTTTAGGAGGCATCTGCTTTATCACTTTTATTTGTCCCTTCCTATTTCTGCTGGAGTTTGAATATTCACCTGACTTATTTCCTTGTTTTTTCCCTCCTGGCCTCTCTTGTTATGGCTGGGCCCTTGTGTGTTTAAATGTTAGCAGCTGCCTGGAAGTGACCTTAACTGCTCCTGGGAAAACCTGGTTGTGTTTCCTTAGCAAAAACTGGGGAGATAATCACTTCCTTGGGAATAAACAGGAGCTTATTTGTGGATGTTTATTGGCACATGGGGATAAGGCAGGGGGCAGTAGCTTATGTGTGGATAATATCCCTGCTTCCCTAAAACCGTGGGATAACTTGAGGGAAAGCTGTGCCTGCTCTAATCACCCCTCTGTTCATCCTGGGCAGACACTTCCATGCAAGACTATTAGTGCACATTAGAAATTGGGGTGAAGGCTCTTTGGTTGCACATTAGAAATTGAGGTGAAGGCTCTTTGATTGCCACCAAATCGATCTCCAAATGTAATTGAACCCTGATCAATGTACACTGCCATAGACCACCAAGGGAATGGATCCACAGAGAGACATGAACCTGTCTTGGACAGTCTGAGCTTTGTGGGAGATGGATTTTTTTCTAGTTACAGGTGGATGGGAGCTGCAGCTATCCTAAGAAAGATTTTGATGATTTTCTTCTTGTTTCCACCAGTAGCACTTCCTCAGCCTCTTTCCCCTCTCCAGACCCAGAGATCTGCACTGATCCCTTCCTATACCCTCCAGCAGCCCCCTACCCACCCCAGGTTCATCACATTCTCTTTTCTTGTTGCCTTGGGTATTCATTACTCACATCAGAGCACTGCTGGGCAATCTGAGGCTTTCCAAGCCATGCTTAATTCATTTTCACAAAGTCATCTCACAAACCTCAGAGCCACAGCAGAGAAATGTCCAGCAGACAAGAAAGGGACTTTAACAAATAAGATGGACTGAATCAGAGACCTGCCCCATATACACCACCAGTCAATAACAACTGCATGCTGCCATGACCACCCACTCCTCCCTGCCTCAAACTAAGATGAACCAGCTTTTCTTGTTTTAAGAAACATTCTTATTTTTCCTCACATAATGAAGTAATGAAATAGTTTGAATACAAGCAGTTTGACAGCAGATCCCCCAAACAAACAAGCTGAGGACAGGAGAAATTGTTCTGCAAAATCAGGTTCTCACAGACTGTGTTTGAAAGTGGGCAGGAAAGGCAGCAAGAAGAGTTCTCTTCCCCTCATTAGCAGTCCCAGATTAGCTCTGGTAGTGCGCAGGAGGCTGGAGCTGGGATTGGATATGGACCCAAATGTCTCCTTGCTTATTCAGAGCTTATCAGAACACCCTGAACTTTCAGCCTGGCAAATACTGAGCTGGAAAAAGCAGAACACGCTCTCAGGGGAGATTTCGTGTTCATTTTTACCTGTGGCTGGACCAGAAATACTTCAAAGATAGATTTCCTTGTGACATTTGAAGTTTTCTCATTCAGGAGCCTGCCAGAGCTTGAGCTATACAGAGGTAGATATTTATGGGGTCAGAGTTTCAGAAAATCTCAGCTTTCATAGAGCCACCAAAATAAATGACCTGCTTTTCAAAAAAGGTCTCATCACTAAAAAGACACCAAGCCTTGTATCCCACAGGGAGCTGGTGCATTCCAAAGTCCCTTTGAAATCAGGATCTAATTGTGAGAGGTTTGCTTTTAGATATCTGACCGGAGATATTTCAAGCTAGAAATTTTAATGGGTTTGTGAAGCAAAAAAAAGTTGCTAAATTCTTTAAGGCACAAAAGTCAGTACAGACCTGGCTAACTACAGAAAGGAACATCCTGATCCTCAAGTTCAAAGAAAAAAAGGGAGAAACAGAAAAGTGAATATGACCTCAGTACACCAAGAGGAGAAGTTTACATAGGGATAATTATCTATTGCCTTTGTCACACGAAAATAATGTCAATAGAATGAAGTCAATGGCTGGGGTCTAGTCCCAAAATCTGCATTTTCCTGACATCAGGCAGGGCTTCTGGGCCAGCATGTATGACCTAGAGTCCCTGATGAGTCCCTGCAATCCCAGTACATATCCTTCAAGACACACTCTCTCCTCAAGCAGTTATTCCAAGAGTTATTTTATTTCCCTTTCAGATGCTCTCTCCTATTGCGTGGCTGGCTCTCACCACAGACCCTGCTGGATCCTGTCCTGATTCTTGGAGATCTGGGAGGCTTTGCTGTTTTGGCTGATGGAATTTGGCCTGCCTATTGTTCAAGGGGAAAAGTGTTCATCCAAACCTTTCCACCCAGTCTCAGTCCCAATAAATAACTAAGCTTTGTATTTTGACCTCAGGGAGATGCTGGTAGTGATGCAAAAGGGATGTTGCCAGTAGCCTCAGCTTTAATCTTCATGCTGCACTTTAATTGCATTCCACAGACCTAAAAAGAAACCTCCATTGACTACATCTGATCCAGGACATATGAGCAAACTGAGAAATTAGCAGGCAGAAGGAACTGACTGCACAGTTGATTTGCCTGTTGGGACTTTGGGCTGAAGAAAAGGGAAACCTGTGGTTCCTAACAGCTTTGAATTTTGAGTCACTAGATCCACCTTTGACTTTTCACTTATCTATCCCTGAAAATCTCTTGGAGTTTTGCCCTGTGGACCTGCAGACTGTGAGCTGCCTTGCCCAGATCCAGCCCACACTGACCAGACTGGCACTGAGGCCACAGCACATTCTGGTACAATTCTGCTGCTCATCAGTTTGTGAGCCCCTCCTGAGTCAGATCCACCCAGGCAGGACTATGCATGGCATACAACACAAGAAGAAAGTCATCAGAAGGTCCTGAAATCAGCTGGTCACTGAAAAAGGTGTCCAGCTACTTCTGGACTAGCTGCATTAGAAGAGCTGTTTGCCAGTGGCACTTACCCAGCATCCCTTTGTTGGAACTGGACAAGCACATATCCTTCTCAGCACTGGGAAGAACAAATCCAACCACAAACACCTCCACCCCATCTGCCATCAGTGCCAACCCTAAAACAAAGAAGAGAGTCCACTGGAAGCGTCCGTGGCCACACTCCTCAATGATGTTCTCGTACTGGTGGGCGAGCTGCTCCTCGTCCTCCATCCTCTCGGCCATGAGGTCAGCACGGTCTCTGTACTCATCATCCACGGCAGGGGCTCGCTTCTTCTGCTTCTCTTTGATGTCATCTGGGTGTGGGATCCCTTGGTACTCCCCCTCATAGACCTCATCATCCTCGTCGTGGCCTTCTGTGACATCACTCTGGGCATCCTCGTCCTGCGTGGGCTCATCCCCGCCCCGGTAGTAGCCATCGTTGGGTGTGTCATAGCTGCCATCCTGGTACCTGTAGTCATCTGAGACCTGGTTTGTGTTTCTATATCCATCATCCATTCTGAACACAGAGTTCTAAATGCTGCAGGTCACTGTGGAGATATTCTGAAATGGGTGTGGGTTTGTGCAATTCCTGGTGTCGGTTACTTGAACATATCCTCTCTTTGCTCTTTGGAACTGATGGGATACACAGCTTCCCAAGCTTGGAAGGAAGGAGAATTATATATAAAGGTTCTCTTTGACAGAGCCACACACAGCTTTTGGTAATGCTTCACTTTTCAGCTGTCATTTGTGACTCGCTGGCTCCTGTGCCTTGGGTGAGAAAAGCTGCTGTCTGGGGAACAGCGAGGGAAGAGCAAATTGCACAGCCGGGGAGCTAGGAGGACTTGACAGATTTTTCCTGATTCATTGTGGTGCTGAAGGTCATGTCCTGAGAAAGAGGAAATAATAGCAATGAGACAGCAGTAAGCTTGCAAGCATACATGCACTGAGTTTAATGCCCAACATTTGGAATATGTGCTTTTCCTTTGAAAAAATATGGCAACAGAGGAATGCTTTTGCCTCATCAAAAACCCAAAGCCTCAGAAAAAAACAGAGCATTAAAATGTACCAAGTTCAGTGGGAACCCAAAGTAGAATGTAAAATACCATGTGGTCCCAATTTCTGCCATTCCTGGAAGTCCTGCCTCCCATATGTGGTCCTGCTTTCCATGGAGAGCAGAACAGCACTGGGCTGGGTTACTGGAACAGAGCTCTAAGGTTGCTAAATATGTTTCCATCCATCTCCTCAGAGTACACTCATCCCTGGTCCCTACAACTGGCTAGCATCATAATGAGACAAAATATGATTCTTTTTCATCCAGATCCTGACATTAATTTCATTTATTGGCTTCTTCTTTTCCCTAGTGTCTCTCCATCTGTATCCCAGATGCACAACTGGCATAAAGAGTCTGCCAAGTCACCAAAAGTCACACCAAGCTCTGTTCTTTCCATATCTAAACATCAACAGGGGATGATTTTCACAGAGAGCAAAAAAACAAAGCTAATACAGAGTCACTGCTGTCTGCAGGGAAAAGCAAGAAAAGCCAAGACACATCTAAACACACACACTCCTTCTGGACACCTGATTTCCATTATTTTGCAGGCAGTTTCCAGCCAGCTGGCTCTGCAGTGTTCCCCTGCCTCACACAGCTGTAGACACAGGGTTTGGAAGGAGAAGCACATGGGGAAGGGAGTGGAGTCACGCCAGAGCAGCCAGCACAGCGTGGGCATGCACAGAACGTGGACTTTGCTTCAAGCTTTGAGCTACTTGCCTAAATAAAGTGCAAATGAGGTTTGGATTGACACGGGCAGGCACAAGCCTGAGGATGTGTGGGTGTTGTTACCTACACAGTCAGTTGACCTATAGAAGCGCACGCAAACGCACGCACTGTAAATAACAGTGCTATATGCAGCTGAAGTGACTGCAGAGGAGACATTCAGTAGCACTCTCTATAATGAAATGCTCAGAGGGGCATCACTCCTGCTGCAAATGCTGTGATTTTCTGGCAGCCCAAATGCTCAGGGTAAGGAAGGAGAAGTGGCTTGACTTCTCTGCATGGACTAATGGCCAAGCCTTGCCTATGCTGTTCATGGAACTGCTCCAAGGAACTTCATAAAAGCTTCCTCTGCCCTTCAGTTTATCTACCTGTATATTTGTGGCCCATATTTACAACACAGCCTCTGCAGAACCTGCCAGAACCTCTTCCTTTTCTCTGCTGTTTGTCACTACATTCATCGTGTTTCCTCTTCCCTTTCTTTATGCTGAATCACAATGTGCATTTTGCATCAAGTGAAAAAGGCAACATGGCATTCTTCCAGGGCTCAAAAAGAGTGATCAATAAAGTAATAGGAAAAATAAAATTCCAAATACATTCTGATCAGGTTATAATGATCAGGAATCCACAGTGCAGGGAGGGGTAAAGAGAAGTATTTGCACAGGCACCAGAGCTGTTAATGTGCAGGGGAGTTAATACCTCTGACAGCCATCAGAAGCACTTAAATGAGTTCCACAGCTCTTGTTTCAGTGCTGGAGTGTTACCTTTAATGGTTAAAAAAGTCCAAAATTACTTTTGAGTCTCAGAACTCTCTCCCAGTGCTGAAGTAACTTTCTTGATTACACAAAGATTTGTGTCATGACTGAACATCGTGTTCTCCAAGGCGGTAAATGTAGTTCCACAGAGACATATTTTCTTTTGAAAAGCAGGGGAAGAAGCCTTTTATTTAAAGAGAAAAACAAAAGAACAATATGTGCAAAAGTACATTAGGCCTTGCTTTGGAAGTCTTTGAGAATCATCTGCTGACAGGTCATGCTTCAAAGCAACCTCAAATGTTGGAGCAGGAAGCACAGTGACCTCACTGTGTTTGTCCCTTTCTGGTTGCCACAGAACTGAATTGAAAACTTGTTTTAGGAAACAAAGTAACAATAACACTAATGATCAATAGCAGAACTGATAAGACTCTGAGTCTCCACAGACCTTATCTCTCTTTTCAAAAGGTAAAATTATGTTCTTAAGTGCTGGAAATCTTTTTGTTCTCATTTAAAAGCTGCTGAGGCTTAAAGCTGAGCTCCTTGCCTCCCACAACAACAGGACCAAAGATCACAAACTCAGAAAAGATCTATTGAAGCATCCATGCTCTTTCACTGACACACAAAGTCTGGCATTTACCAGATGGAATCACATTTTGGGCAGCCTAAGAAATAATGACATGAGCTGATGAGTTGCACAGACCGGTGAGAGTCACCTGTATGGGGAAGAACAAATAATTCAAAGAAAAGGTCATGGCAGAAAATAGTGACTGGTTTCCCATTCAGTTTGTAGATGGATATTTTCTGGGATCACCCCAGGAGAAGGGGCAGCACAGAGAAGCAGGCTATAACTTCAGAATGCTACAATTTCTATATTTCACACCACTTGTTTTCTTTCTTTGCCACATATGCACAGGCTGATTCACTCCAGACCCGATTCTTTAACACCCTTTCACTCAAGCTGAGCTGCACTCACTCATTAACAGCCCCATTTAGCATTTAGACATGAAACCATGATGTGTCATAAAGATGACAGGCTTGGGTTCTATAATTACCCTTCACAGTGATGCATGAGACTTGAGACAAATATACACATCTCCCCAAGCCCATTGTAGCAGGGTGGGCGTCAGCCTCTTCTCCCAGATAACAGCACAACAGGAAACGGCCTCAGGTTGTGCCAGGGAAGTTTCAGACACGATATTAGGCAAATTGCATCATTCAAAGGGCTGTCAAGCATTGGAACACTCTGCCCAGGGCAGTGGTGGAGTCACCACCCCTGGAGGTATTTAGCAGAAATGTAGATGTGGCACTTGGGGACATGGTTTAGTGCTTGGCTTGGCACTGCTGGGTCAGTGGTTGGACTTAATGATCCTGCAGTTCTTTTCCAATCTAAATTATTCTAATTACAACCCTTGGCCCTTGTAAACTGCCAGATCCCTTTGAGACACACAGATGAGGTTTAAAGACACAACAAATGTCAGGCTCCATAAGGCAGAGTCTGCAGGGACAGGAAGGCAGAGGAAAGAAAAGCCTCATTTTGGGTCTGCCCAAAACAGCCCATTAAACTGAGTGTTGGGATACATCAGAATTCAGATACTTTCCTCATTTCTTTAAAATACACTATGCACCATGCAGATTTCTTGTACTCTAGCTCTTTAGTTAGCTCAGATGTTGCATACTTAGCCAGGAATTCAGTCATTTGAGCTCTGCAACTTAAAATAGGAGCCTGAAGTCTTGGATATCCTCGTAATAGAAATGGTATCTAGTCTGGGAAAAGGGATGTTTAAAAAAAGCAGATCAACACCAGAATTTGCCTCTCTGAGGGGGCATATTGGTAAGTGTGGCATGCTGAGGGGATAAATGGGGCTGGAGGGCAGCAGAGCTTGGAGGGGATGCAGAGAAGGGGGATTTTCTTGTGCCTGGTACTAAATGAAGAGAGCCCAGGGCTTGTCAGAGAGCTGAGCTCTATCAGAGAGCAGAAATCATGTCAAATTAGTAAACAGGGTGGATATGAGAAGGGTTTTCCATGAAATATTGCACCTTGGGGCATGATGGAGTTTCTGGGAAAGCAAAAAGAGTGAGGATGCTGCTTTGTGGGAGCACAAGCCGTGGGTGCACACACATAAATGCAATATGAATGCACATCCATGGTGAGGATCCAGCAGGGACACAGAGAGCCAAGGCTGGGAGCTGCCTTCCAGGGCCTTTCTGCATGCTCAGAAAGGGAGAACACTCAAAACCAGGAGGGAGAGGTTATTTGAGCACTAAGGAGAAGGAGCATGACAGGGACACCATAAAAATGCTTTCAAGGGATTTTTAGCATTCACCAGAATAATCCCTGTAAAACAGATGGCAGAGCAGTTTAATATTCTGCCTGAAGGACGACTCCTCCTGCAGAACATCCTCACCCCCAGAGCTGCTTTCTGCTGACAGCAATGGGAAGGTGCCCAGATCCTACAGTGACCATAAGGACATTCTGCAGTCACAGAGCTGACTGTAAAAAAATTCCTGAGAAGAAATTTTCCTCACTGAAAGGAGAAGGATGATTGTGTAGATAGGCTCCTGTGAAGTTCCAATCTCAGATTCTTAGGTTGCAATTGATGGATCTGCTTGTACACTTGAAGGGACAGATTTCTGAGGTGCCTAAGAAATCACAATTCCCAGGGCAGCAGCACCCTGGATTTCAGCAGTGATAGCAATATTATCAGACAGGCTGAGCACTGTGGCAATGAGTGATCACTGAGCTGCTGGATTAGGTGCTGCAGGTTGAGCATCCTTTGCTTCTTGGCATCTCTGTGTCCCTCCAGACCTCAGTCCCTCCAGAAACATTCATTGAAACTCATTTTTTGAGGACACAAGTTGCCCATATATGAATATATTAATATATTCATATATGGGCAACTTGTGTCTCCAAAACCTTAAACCTTAAATACACCAGAATTTGTTGAAAAGAGATCTCTGTGCTCCCATCTGCACAGCTGAGGAGCTGTCAGGAAAAGTGCTCCCAGGTCTTTATCAATGAAGCCTTGCAGTCTAGCATTTTAATTTTTTTTTAAACTAATAAAAATGCTATTTTACCTCAAAGTAACTTTGAAAATTCCCCTCTTTCCAACTAGCATACATAATAATAATAATGATAAATTTTTTAAATCTAAAAAATTAGACTGCAAACCTATAATTCACAACAAAAATGCTTTCAGATAAGGTGCATTATAAATTCTTCATCTTACACTGCAGAAAGTTGCCCTTTTCATTGGCATAAAAAAAAGTAAGAGGTGCATGGAGATTTGTTTCAAACCGAAAAAAAAATATTTCATTTAAGAAATGCCATCCTGTCAACTGCTTGATCCGTATTTTATTAGA